ATATTTTTCATAAACAATAATCATTTCCAAAATCAACTCCAAAATATTAATTATTTCCAAAAAATATTACATAATTATTTACCAAATCATTTTACATAATACAATTTTTCAATCATACAAAATCTTACGCATTTTTTTTTTTTCAACCAATAATCATAACAAAAACATAGCCTAACATATTCCTAAATCCAAATATAAACAAATATAATTTATATCAGACAAAAATCTCAATAAATAATAACAAATATATATTATTTCAAACAAATATTAAAATAATATCAATCCTTATCAAAATATCTTTAACATTTCCTATAATCAATTTAAACAAAGATATATCTAATATTAATATATTTTTCGAACAAAATAAATCAAATTAATTTCATAAAATCAAAATATAAAAATACACATTTTATTCGTTTTTAAATTTAAACAATACAACTTTTTTTTTTAAAAAAAAGAACATTAAACAAACGCCCAATATCTATTCTAAAATTATAAACCATTCTTTATAATTAAAATTAACATCTATAATCACTATATAAACATATCATCATTATAAAGCTAAACTATTGTTTCAATCCTTATATATTAAATTATCCATTTAATTAAAATAATAATATATATCTGAAATATCTATATACATAAATAAAATTAAGAAATTCACATGACAGGGGCATCATCCGTAGACATCCCAAGGAACTTCATTTGCACTTGAGCCCACTTGAGCGCCATACCAGCTGCGAAGCCGCCTGCAAAGGATCCCAGTGCCCACCAGTGATGCGTTGGAAACACGGGAGCCCTGCTTGGGATTTTTAGAGGAGAACCCACCAACCAAAAAGTAATTTGGAAGGTGGATATTTTTCTGACGATCTGGGTCCTGGTACAAGTCGAGCCTGAAATAAACAACTGAGATGGATGGCTTGATCATGTTTCGTTGTGTCTTCTCCCGTGTGCGTGTGCTTCGTATCACGCTTCCGGCATATCTACATTTTGGCCCCACACGTAGATGTCGAAAACGGTGCCCAGGCGCACTCCTTTGATCAAAAAACAAAGATTATGAGACAAAGGTACTAGCTCGTGCGATATCATCTTGCCACACTTGAACAAGCATGTGCAAAGCCAGCCCGGCATTTCCTGCAGGATCCGTTGCTTTTGCAATCTGAATTTGTCAGTCTTGGAAAACCACAAGGAGAAGGATTCGCAGTTTGAGAACATCTGTCGTGTTGAAGCCGCACTAGAACCCGACTGCCTGGAACGTGGTCGTGTGTCGTCACTATGTGAGCACACACCAAACAAGACTTTCCAACCAACCATGGCACGTTCGACACGACCTAGTTGCCCAGTGGTTCCCCATGAGGGGTCGTAGGAAATGAGCCCTTGTTTGCGATACCAAAGTGAGATTTACATCTTTGACTAGACAGTGAGACTTACATCTTTGACTACTTTGTTGTTTGACGGCGATTGCCCTGGTATCACAGAAACTGGCGACTGAAGACCTAGATTTCCACAACCAGGGCCCGACTCCTCACTGAAACCTCGAGCTTTCTGCTCAGCGCACACAATGCACCCGCCTGGCGCACATTGCAGCTGCCGCCTCGGCCAGTCATGGAAGTGGACGTTTGGGGACTTTTCAAGATGGTAGTCCTCCAAACCCTGTCAGCTGGAAAGACAGTAATTGAAGCTTTCAAAGGAGGAGAACCCAGAAGCATCAACAAAAGCTTCTCGAAGCAAATGAATGAAGACCCATGATCTACACCCTGGGTGATGCGGCATTTGCAACTTGATAAACATAGGTGTGGTTCAAGCAAATTGTTGTGTCACATTGTAATGGCTATCAACATCATTGTTGCATGGTTCATTATCCATGGGCCTGGGAAACAAGTCCTTTCAAACGTGGCGGTGCCATCAAAGGGGGAATGGACAAGTGTAACCACTCTCTGATCTGCCTCAAGTTGCGTCTGACTGAACTCATGAGAAACCCCCTTTCATTCTTTGCCCTCTACGCAAACTTTCAATTGCTTTGAGCAATTTACTTTTTACCTCTGGAGGCGAAACAAATTGCACAAATGCATGGACCTTTCCACAACCCAAGACGGGACACAAAGATCGCCTGCATTTCCCAGATCGAATCGCGGAGAAAGGCGACCAATGGAAGCTGCTGGCCTACTGAGCCCAAGCCCAAAGAATGGCAGCTGCGTGCTCAGTTGGGAACGAGGGAATGAGGGAATGAACCCCACAAACCATCCCGTGGTTTTCTTTAAGGGAATGCTGGGTTCCTTCCCACATTTCCTACTGAGCACCGTCTATCTCCTAAACGTCAGCTTCAGTCGGATGCCGCTGAGGCTGTGGCTGTGGGTTGGCCCACCACATGTCTTTGTCGCCCCATCCAGGGGTCACGCGGGGGTTGGAAGGGCATGATGACGATGTCAATGCAACTTGACTCAATCTGAATCTGCATCGGGGCTGTTGATTTGAAGCTGTAGGTGTAAGTGTCAAATGTCTGCTAGAACACACAAACTTTTTCCTGAACAGCCTTTGGTGTGTAGCGTGGAAGGTATTGGTTCCTGGATGTGAACATTTGGAGTATGCATGGCATCTAAGTACTTGTTGCGCAAACATCTGGAGCAACACGGCACGCTTCATGACTTCATGATTCATTGCCTCTGCCTTCGGTTGCCGGGCGAAGCCGGGCAGGCTAAGTTTATCTTTTACATCACACACGATGGCCCGGCTTGTCTTGTGCACGGCTGCAATCATGAAATGATTTTTCAAGCTGTGGAACAACTGTGCGCGTTCGTCAACCACAACGATTGCATACGCGTGGAGTAGACTTGCCAATTGACCTTCACGTGGGGAACCTCAAATTTTCTTGCTCTGACGTCTCTGAAAAGGCACCAAAAGGAAACCAGCCACGTGGATGCGCTCCTCACTTGGAGAATCCAAGTGTCCATGGTATACCTTGACTTAGCCTCCTCTCATGTGCAGACTTTTTCTCAAAGTAGCTGCACTGCACTCAAGCCGGCGCCGCTGATGTCATCCAACAGCCTCCAGATAGTTTTTTGGGAAGGCGGCCGTGCTTCATAACCGGAGGCTAAAAGCCGAGCATAGGAAAGGATGTAAGCATGGTGCACGTACGTGGACGAGCATGACAGCGCGCGAACCATTTGGTGGCAACACGTAAAGTAACCCAAGCCAGCACGCGCTGGTGTAAACATGCAATCAGGTGCCAGCAAGCGAGCAAGCCAGCAGGCAAGCACGGAAGCAATCAAGTGAAACTCAAAAGAGCCAGAGCAGAGCAAGAGCGGATCAAGACCAAAGCAAGGCCAGTACAAAGCAAGCCGATGCAACTAAAACCATCAAAACCAGCATCAAACACATATTTATCTCGACCACGGGCCTGGTTGTGTCGGGTAGTTCCTTTGAAACTCTTGGTACGGGTGTGAGTCATAGATCACTCGCAGGCCTAGCTTGGAGCGAATCTGTGGATGGCACGGCTTAAGCATCCTGGCCAGCCACAACCGATGTGAACAGATTTCTTCTGGCAGAGGAATGCCACACAATGCCAATTGTTGTAGCCGAAAGGGCAAGGCCACAAACGACCACAACGACCACACGTGTGCAGCTCAACGTTCGTGAGCTAAAGACCCAAAGACACGTAGGCGACCGCTGTGTGTGTGTTAAGCTACTCTGTTTCGATGTGGACTTGCCTCATGCGGAACCCAACATTGGTGGGTACACTTTTAGTTGCTGCGGCTACAAACAGGCCGCAACAAAAGTCATCTGTCGCCTCCTCACCACAAAATGATTCAGAAGTGGCCAGTTAACCCCTCCAAAGGTTTTCAATTCTTGGGACGCTTGGTAAGACTGTTTGTACTACTTTTCCTGCAGACCCCACCGACCTCGTGGGAAGATTCGTGTGGGAAATTAGGGGCACCTTTGAGGGACTGATACCTGGAGCCCGGTTCCCCCCCCAGAAAGGGTGGATGGAACCACGAAACCACGACCTACTGCCTGTCTTTCAAAATAGTCCCATAAAATGGTTGGCTTCCTTTTGCCGTCCCTTTAAATTCCAATCAAATGGATATTGACACTCGATATTGAACAACAAAAGGAAACCAAAGGGGTTCAGCCATTTTTGGTTTCCCATTGAACAAACAAACACTCGTTAGTCTCCCAACCAAGGGGGCTTCAACTTAGACCGCCCTGCCGCCCTAAGCTCGTCCCGCCCCGAGCCCAGCCGCGGCCGCGCCTGGCAAGGCTTCGCAGCGAGCGGGCGCCCCAGCTGCAGCTCGCGGCCAGCTCCGCGCAGGGCACGTCCCAAGGTCCGCCGAGGGCCTGGCATTTGCGTCCGCGGCCACGCGGTCGCCAGGCGGTCGCCAACCACCAGGCTGTCGTGAAGGGAAACCAACTCAGTTAGAAGGGCGGGGTGGATTTGCTCCAACTTTCTTCAGGTACAAAGTCCTTTCATTGTTCTTTGGCTTCTGAGATGGGCTCAAGAACAAGCCGTGGATCTCACGTAAGCTGCTTTGATGCTCGTGATTCCGCGTCACACAAACTCGGGACTGAACTCCAATGCAGCCGTCACTTCAAACCGGCGACCCGCGCAGAAACGAACAGGGAACCAGCGGGAAGCTCAGACAGGCTGGAAGGATAGCTGAAAGTACAAACAAGAAACATGTCATGTGTCCCGCAGCACAGGGTGATAGGTCTTGTCATGACCTAAATTGACAGGCCAAAGTTGATGAACAATTTGGCCGTTAAATGGTTTGACATGTAGAACAGCCTTTCCCGACATGTTTGAAGTGCCAGTTTGCACCAGTTGGCATGGATAAAGCTCAATGAATACTGGTGTAGACCACCTAGGGCGCCCTGCACCATCCCAGGTTTTCCTAAAGGAGGTTTGTCTGAAAAGCTTGGTATCAACCCAAAATGGGCTTTGGCTTCCCCTTCGATTCTCTGTTAAAACCAACCAAGAGAGGCTCCACAAAACGAAGCACCCATCTGGGTGTGTCGTTTTTTGAGGTCTACCATGTTATGACTTTCAAAGGAAAAACTTCACAAGGACACCCATCAGGTTTTCCTCTTGGAGCTTTGTCTCAGAAGGGCAACCCAAAGCGGACACCGTTTTGGGCCCCAGTTTGGGCCCTGGTTTCCCTCGTCCGTTCGACTGCCTGCAGCGTCACGACCTGGCGCCAGCGAAGTTGGCTTCGGCAACATTTCGCCGCGGCCGCCGCGAAGGGCGGCGCCAGCTCCAGGCGTCTGCGACCCGGAGACCGAGCCCAGACGAGGCAGTTGGGCCTGGGGATTTAAGGAAGTGAAAAGCCCTCCACTCTTTGGTGCCGTAAAAGTGAAGAACCTTCCAAAACAAGTTCATGACGCTTGTCAAGGAACAGGCATGTAACAGTTGTGGTCATGTTCAAACAAACATGACGTACAAGTAGGTTTTGGGCTTCGCATGCTTTGGTTTGGCTTGGGATGGGCTTGGTTGAAGGGTATGTTTAGTGCTAGCTTCGGCTAAAGGTGCTTGCTGCTTTGGGCATTCAAAAATTGGCTTGGCTTGGGGTGGGCTTCGGGTGGCTTTTGGACAGATTTAAAGGGACTTTGAATTAAGTGCTGCTAAGTTTTCACACTCCTTGTTCAAACAACCTCTTTCGGTTCCCTCGGACCAGGGTCCAGGAGTTTCAACTCTTGACGCACAAAACCTCTGTTACATTTCTAAGCACAGTTTCAAGCAACCATTCTTTGCTCCAGGAGTTTGAACCACTTTTGACGCAAACCTCCCAGACCTTCCCACGACCCGCCTGTTTGCCGCGCTGCGCAGCAAGCGGAGGCTCTGGCGCCAGGGAAGGCCCCGCGCCGCGCAGGCAGAGCCTGCCGCTTCCGATCGGCGCGGCGGGATCGGAGGCCTCGAGTCGCTCGATGGCATGCTTTTTTTCTCGGGAGCCTTTCTCGCGTGTTTTGGGTCGGGGCTTGACCTTCGAAGTCAGCTTCCAAAGAAAAGGGAGATCCACCAATCAATCGAGTTGGACTGCGTGTGGGGGAATGCTGGCTACCTCCCCTTCCAGTGTGGATAACTGCTCGCACTTGCCCGGCGGCCATAGGCAAGGGGACAATCTGTTTTGCTGGTAGACCTGAAAGGACACACTTCCTAAAACTCAAGAAAGGGGCCCCACTGCCCCTTGAATTAAACACTGTCTTTTGTTGGTTGAACCGCAGAACAGAAACATGGCCAGGTTCCAAAAGCAGAAAGATTCCAAAAGCAGCGAAGGAAAGGGGTACGCCACATCCCACCACTTAAGCCCAACCCCCAAAAACTCACTTGCCTGGGTTGGAGAAAAATCCGGCAACTTGGGAAGTGGGTCACAATAAACACCTGGTGCCGAAGAAGTCTAGCCAACATTATGTAATTGGAGGCACGTATTTGTGCTTGGGGCTGTCCCTGACAGTATCCAAAACACAAACACATGCCAAGAGTCGGGTATCAAACAACTAATTGGGGACCCTTTGGACATCTTGAAATCTGGGAATTTTGTCCACCAACCACTTTTCAGCTTTTCAGGGTCCTTCCGACACTGAAAATTACTTCGCCCAGGAGAAACGAAACCGCCAGGTTCCGGTGCGGTTCAAGGCGCCGAAGCTGAGCGACGTAGCGTGGGGGCCCAAGGTGATCAGCAAAAACAAGGCTTCGCGCCAGGCGGCGCCACCTGGAAGGGGTTGGTGGGCTCCCCTCATTTGGGTTGGACTTCCCCTGATGTCGTGGGCTTCCCCGATTTTTTCAGGGGTTCCAGAAGTTCAGGGATTTTCAGGATTTTCCCCCCTACTTTGGTGGGCCCCCGATCTTTAGTTGGAATACCCCCCTCTTTCGTCTTGGTTTCCTGTTGGCTTCCCCATAAAACAAAGGACTTGGATCACCTAAAATCATCTTTAGCCCACAATCCCAGCCTAAATCCACCGGACCTCCAACCCTCTAAGCCCACGGCCTTTTTTACTTTTGTTGGCTCCCTGCTGGCATCTTTAAAACAACCGCATGGTAATGTTCAAAAGATGCCAACACACCATAAAGCCACCCTGCAAACCTGACTGCGCAAGTCCATCTTAAACCCGAATCTAAGCCTAAGCCCGACCCCAACCGAGGGGGGAGCCTCAGTCTTAAATAGAGGAGCCACCATTGTTGGGCGTACTCTGGAAAGAAACAAGAATTAACACGTGGGATTAAGCGGATTGCTTCCCTTCAAAATCAGCCAAAACATCCTTCAAACAAGAACAAACAATTGGTTTGCAGAGACTCATGCCCTTGGAACAAGACACGCCGTCAACCGGTCTGCCAGCCCAACGACAAACTACCTGAGCCGCTGGGGCCCGACCTTAATTGGCCAGGAATCGGGGTCTGGTGTTGGGGGTGGGGGGGGTTGGACCCCCCATGGTCCAACCCCATTTTTCATTAGAAAACGGCGGGCCGACCCCATCTTCATAAAGCATGCTCAATTTAGAAAACGGGGGGGCCAACCTCGGTCCGACGTGGCACTGGGCCAAACCCCCAATAAAAGAAAATGGGGGGTCCGGGGTCCAACCCCACCATGAAAAAACGAAAACGGCAGCGTCGTGAAAAAAATGGGGAGGTCAACCTCCATTACTGTCAGCATCATTTCTGTTGTAGTCCGTGGCTCCCTTACAAGGTAAACTTTCAGTGAGATACGACATAAACCCCTCTAAATTCAAAAGAGTTGAACATTGGGTATGGCCGAGAACGCCCAAAATGAGACATGTGAACAGGTCGATTCGCTGAACTGAAGCGAGTCACAATTTTTTAGGCTGCGCCCTGCCCGTCTGAGGTGGGGCGACATTCCGCGCGTGACGGTCTGCTTTGACGTCCCCGGAAAGCCCCCCCGGCACTGTGTACCAACGTGTTTCGCGGGGCTCAGGAAAAAACCGCCGGGCGGTTACTTAGTTCCCAAGATTTCCTCTTCAAACATCGTGCCAGGCATATCACATGGCAAATAGAGAAAATGGGGGGGGGGCAACCTAGAATTTTTGTGACCCGACCCATTTTCTTTTATTCACCATTTAGACAATGAGGGGGGCCAGCCCCACCATGGGAGGTGACATCCTTAGAAAAACCAAGCCCAAAATGGGCTCAACTCCCCAGTTTCTAAATTAATGATGCCAGGACTTCTTCCCATCCGGGCTTCTGTATCTTTTGTTTGGTCTCCTCTTGGTTTCCCTTTAAACCAACCTGAGATGACCCTCAACCACATCCCGGCCCCTCCGATTTCCCTGGGCCCGCTGGCCCATGGCCGCATTGGCCAGCGCTGGGTCATCAGAATTCGCAGCGCCAAAGGCGCAGAGCAGCGCCCAGTTCTCCGCCCAAGGCCGGCCCCGCAAAGCCGCAGAGGCGCAAACGGCTCCCCCGCCTGCCGGGACTTTGCAGATTTGGGTGGTTGGCGCGTGGCTCTTGCTTCATGTCCATTGGTGGTTGCGCTCAGTGTCTGTGTCAAGTTGTCGTTGTGGTTGTGGCTGCGGTTGTGGTTGTTGTGGGTTGTCACTGTGGTTGTGGTGGGCGTTCGATGCTGGACCTTGGTTGTTGGCTGTGGGTTTGTTTGTCGCGGGGTGGGTTGGTGGTGTTGGTAGTCAGTTGTCGATGGTTGGGTTGCCATGGTCTTGTTGTTGCTGCAGTTGTTTCTGTTTGGTTGTTGGTTGGGTTTGGTTGGTTGGTTGGTTGGTTGGTTTGGTTGGGTTGGTTGGTTGGAATGGTTGGGTTGGGTTGGGTTGGGTTGGGTTGGGTTGGGTTGGTTTGGTTGGGTTGGTTGAATGGTTTGGTGAATTGGTTGGGTTGGGTTGGGTTGGGTAGAGTTGGGTTGGGTTAGGTTGGGTTGGTTGGTGGGTGTTTTCTTTGTTGCTGCTGCTGCTGCTGCTTCTGTTGCTGTTGCTGTTGCTGTTGCTGTTGCTGTTGCTGGTGCTGGTGCTGTTGCTGTTGCTGTTCTGTTGCTGCTGCTGTTGCGGTTGCTGTTGCTGTTGTTGTTGTTGGTGTTGGTGCTGCTGCTGCTGCTGCTGCTGCTGCTGCTGCTGCTGTTGCTGTTGCTGTTGCTGTTGCTGTTGCTGTTGCTGTTGCTGTTGCTGTTGCTGTTGCTGTTGCTGTTGCTGTTGCTGTTGCTGTTGTTGTTGTTGTTGTTGTTGTTGTTGTTGTTGTTGTTGTTGTTGTTGTTGTTGTTGTTGCTGTTGCTGTTGCTGTTGCTGTTGCTGTTGCTGTTGCTGTTGCTGTTGCTGTTGCTGTTGCTGTTGCTGTTGCCGTTGCCGTTGCCGTTGCCGTTGCTGTTGCCGTTGCCGTTGCCGTTGCCGTTGCCGTTGCCGTTGTTGTTGTTGTTGTTGTTGTTGTTGCTGCTGCTGCTGCTGCTGCTGCTGCTGTTGTTGTTGTTGTTGTTGTTGTTGTTGTTGTTGTTGTGCCCCCCCTGGTGTGGAGCCTCAACTGGGTGCTAAGCAGGGGTTCTGGAGTATGAAACAAACCATAGCTCGCCTCTTTGGGTCTTCTTTTGAGGGGCTTTGCGTGTACTATGCCGCAATCACCCCCAAACTTTAAAAGCCTACAAGTCTAAGACTGGAAATCGTTGAGGGGCATAAACAATCTTGTGCTATTTTCTCATTTCTTGAGTGGGTAGGCCAAACAAACGTCCAAACTTTCTGTTTACTACGAAAGTGATCTGCCCAACAAGTAAAAAGTCCAAAGACGATAGAAGTTGCTTTGGCTGCAGCCAAGTCGAACCATCTTTCGGCCTACGGCCTTGGACTCTCCCAGCAGCTCCTCGGCGAGCTTCCGCTCGCCCGCGCGCGCACAAACATCCTGGGGTGGAATCCACGTTTTGCTGGTTGGGGGCCAATGAAAGAAACCCCACAGGGCAAAAGGTTCAACGGTTCAAAGCCCAACCTTCAGAAATGGCTGCGGCAAAACCTCAAAGGTCAACACCACAGCCTTCAGGTCAGCGAAAGGTCAAGTTCAAAGCTCAGATTGACAGCTTTTTGTTCGCAGGCTCACACCCTAAGCTTGGGGGAATGGTGGTCAAAAAGGTGAAATTTCGGTCAGGGCAAGCGTCGATGACTGTGCCGAAGGAAGTCGCGTCTGGCGGATGCGACATGCTCGGCATGGCCCGCAGCAAGGCCAGCGAGTGACCTGTGGAGAAAGTTGGTTGAAGCAAACCGGCCCTATGTTTCGAGCCCCCCCTCGGTGTTTGCGCGGCACCTTGGGCGGCATGTTTTGACAACTCCCCATTTTGCCAGAGTCAATTTCACCAAATCACCAAAGATTTAGAGTAAAGGGAAACAGTTGATCCGCCCAACCAATGCAAACCATCAATGGGCGCGTTGAAAACCATTCGGGGTCATGTGCATTTTTGCTGGTTCTCGCCCCTTTTTCACAGCCAAGGAAAGTACAACCTCTTCAACCCAACATCGGCGAGAGCGCCTTGTGGTTCACAAAGGTCTGTCTTGAGGGTGCCCCCTTTTGTGGTTTCAAAGGGAAAAGGACCACCAAACTCCGTTTTTGGGGGTTCCGATTCCTATGAGACAAGCCCAAGCAGAGGCCAGGAGACCCGAAACCCGAAAATTGGAGCCAGAGGCGCCCCAGAAACGAAAGCTGAGTACCAGCAGCGCCAGGTTGCAGCTGACCAGGTCCCAAACGGAAGCTGAAAGGAGCCACCAGGCCAAACCTCCAGGGAAAACACACAATTTTGTCTCACGGGTGTGTCTCAAAAAAACAGAGCTAGGGATACACAGGTTTTAGTTGTTGGTTCCATATACCAAAATTCCAGTTTGGTACGTGTTTTGAGCCACAGCCTCATGGAAGAAACCAAAAGTGCGAGCAATACGCAGATAGCATACCCAACATTGGAGAAATTTCCAAAAAATCACGCGGGCACATTCAGGGTTTGAGATGTGCGAGAAATGGGTGGGCCATAGGGCAAACGGAGTTTCAAGGAACCTGAATTGGTCACTCGGGTCCCGGCCTGAGCTAAAGGTCAAGGCCAGCCACTGTTTTTCCCAGTGGGAGCTTGGGATTTGAACCCCTGGTCAATGTAGAGGATAAATTGGAAACCACCCCGTAACCTCCAAACCACCAACTAGAAGTAAGGTGCCCCCGAGAAAAAAACAAAAACATATACCTCAGAATTTGCACCAACCGGTAGGCCTATGATGTGAAATCATGTGAAACGAGATGCCAGACATGGGTCGGCGTCCGGAAATGAGGGAAACCTCATCCTAAAAGGGCATGCTCGTATAACCCACTCATTTTCAGAGGCGCAATCTTTAGAAACAGCCAAATGGACCAAGAGCAATATGATTTCAGCTTGCTGCCTTTGTGCGGCCGCACACTACTGTGGTGCTAAATAATTACAAAGCCACGTATAGCAATTTGTTTTATGATACTCTCATTGAGAGGACTCTGACCCATTCTAATTCTTATTCCATACCCACATATTCAGAATACAACCCACATGTAAATCCCAATGATCATAATACCCCACGCCCGCAAAGTCTTGAACGGGCCTGGTATCCGCGAGGGAGCCACCTCCCTTTGCCGCCTGTTTTGGGACCTTTACTAAAGTGAACCGAAAGGGAACTGACATAGGGTTCCCGCATTTGAAGCAGACGCCCCGCTCTCCCTTGGCGCAAAACGCGCCCCGGGGCCCGGGCGCCACTTGGGTCGCGCCAGCGCGGTGCAGGCCCGATTCAAGGTCGCCACTTCCGGGCGCAGAAGCCGCGCGCCCAAGGCTCGAAGCTCTGCGCTCGCCAGCCGCCACCTGAGCAAAAGGAGGGTGGAAGTAAAAGGGGGAAAGGTGGTTGAGAGGCTTTGTTCCTTGGCGTTCCTTAGAAAGCCATAGGGAGCCTTCGGACCCGCCCCCCTTTGGACCACCCCTCCTTGGGGATTCCAAAATGGGCGTGAGCTTCTTCCCAAAATGGGAGTGAGCTTTCTCTGGGGGCACCCTTTTCAAGTGGTTCAAAGGAAAGCCAGAAGGAAAACTCGAATTTCTGTAGGGGGGGGGGAAGGTCCCGAAATTAAAATGGAGAGATGGTTTGGGGCATCTCAGCTGACCTGCTGAGTGAACTGGCCAGATATACATGTGTAGACTTCTTGACCGTTGACTTAAATTTCCCTGTAACGGCCGTCTTTAGATAACGGTTCTCTCTCCGTCCATGCTGCATGATTGCTGGAAACTTCTCTGTTGGAGATGGAGGGAATGTGCACCAAACCATGCTTGTGTTTGGGAGGGTAACTGTTAAGTGCTGGGCACAACAAGGTTCCTTGGATAAGGCCTCGTGAAACATCACCCCATGACCTCACATAGGATGTCTAAACTGTGCAAAGAGGCAGATACGAGGACCCCTGCGCAAGGCTTGCTCTCGTTGCAAGTCCCTGTCAGCTGAAGCGGAAAGGTCGCATAAGGGAATCTGATGCGTCAATTGTCATGTGACATTCAATTGCGCTTCAGGCATTTACACCCTGATTAAGCAAACAAAAATACCAGCATGTCATGGAAGATACCCCTACAATGTTACTCGCTTGGCTTCAACTTTATGGGGCCTCGGAAGACGGGTTACGCGCTTGGCTGGAGTCCGCACGCAGCGGGAGATGCCACAGACGCGTCAACATGTACTTCGGTGGCGCTTGCAATATTTAGGGCTTCCACTGTAGCCCTAACCTCCTGCAGGACGGGGCAGGGGTGGTCAGGGGAGGGACCGCAGATGTCATGTCGCAGTGCTTCTTTGGTGGATGCCCTCTGTTTGTCCGCCCCGGGCTTGCAATATTCAGGGCTTCAACTGTAGGACCATCCACAAAAAACAGTAATGTTGGCTCCGCATTGATCCCCGCCTTTGATTGTACCAGTAGGGGGTGTCCCCTTTTAGTGGTGGTTCATGATTACTTTTGGAGGTTAGGGTAATTCGTTTGGGCACCTTTTCAACGGATCTTGGCCAGGCCACTTGTCTGCTTTCAAAGCGCCAAGCAGAGCATTGCTGACCGACAGGGTCCGTCCTCACAAACCAAGGGCACCCGGACCTTCAGCGCATTCCCACTTTAAAAGGGTTTTGTTTCGTGGAGAAAAGGAACAAACTGGCAGGGGAACTCGAGCAACTCTGAACCTGAGTGTGGGGACCCACCTTATTCGTTCCATCATTATCCATTGTCTGCCGGAGCCAAAATCATTAGACTTGTGGTCTCTTACTACATCCCGCTCTGAAAAGCGCCTAAAAGCCTGCAATTTCGGGTGCTTCCTTTCATCCGGTAATCTGGCGTATCTGGGCTGTCCTCAGATCCCCTGCAAAAAGTCAAACTTTTAGTGGGTCAAATACGGAAACCCAAACACTAAACCGAACAGCACAAAAGTTTTAGGAACGGATTCCCTATATTTCCCTTTTGAACCCACCAAAAGGCCAAAAGGTGATGGTTCAAACCATCAAAGGGGAAGACAGGGAGCCCTTCCATAGCTCGGCTCAAGGGGAGTCTCTCCTTCGGCTTGCGCCACCGCGGCTGCCAGCTGCCACCTGGCGCTTCGAGAGACCGCCGCTACCGCCGAGCCACCGAGCGCCGCGTCGGAAGAGATCTGCCGCTGCGCCTGGGGCGCGGACGTCGCCGTGAAGCTGATGCCCAGCGTAGATCCAAAAAAGAGAAACGCGGAGAATAAGGGGCATTGGGGCTTTACATAAAAAACACTTGCCTTGTTTATTACTATTACCACTATTTAAAAAAAAAACAAACCAAAGGAGGCTCGAGAAACCTGAGAGGTGAAGAGGTGAAATGAAAAGGTGAACAAGAGAGGGTCACAGGTCAATCAACAGTCGACAGGGCCAGAACAGGTCAAAGTGCCTTTCGTGGTTTCCTGTGCGTTGCTGGATCTCTCCTCCAATTCACCACATCCGGACTATTTGATGATTGGGCAGATGAACGTCCATAAACTTTCAAAATCAGACCCAACACGCAAACCTCAAACGCCCAACCCCCACCCCCCCCACCCCGGCCACGGACAATTCAGTGCATTTTGCAACCTAAAAGAAGGAGGTTGCAAAATAGACCCGTTCAGTGTCCATCATACCCCCCCCCCCCCAGCAAACCAAAGAAAGCAGTCAACTTATCTCAACCCCTCGACCCCCCAAACCTCTCCGCCTGCCATTGCAGCAACACCAGCGCTGCCTGCCAGTGCCCAGCCATATTTTCAGAGGCCGCTGCCACGGCGAGGCCCGTGTGCAGTGTGTTGACTTCGCAGCCCATGTCCTGCGGTGGGGGCGTTTCTTGTTTTTTACACAAACAGCTTGAAGGGGATCGAAAAGGAGACTCTTTGAATTGGAGCCTATTAGATGGAACAACTGATCAAACGCCGCTTTGAAGGGAAACCAAACGGAGACTGGGGGGGGGAGTTGTAAAGTAAGCCAGTAACTGGGAATGGTTCCCTCTAAACTACTCTTTTTTGGGGGGGAGGGAGGGGTGACTTTAATGATGGCTAATGAGGACAGCAAAAGGGGCTAAATAATTTCAGATATTATGATGCTCCTATGATTGGTGTCGCTTATGGTAGGTTTAGGCCAACCACGTGTTTTCACGACCATTATTGAAACCTATCTGCTTTTGGTGTCCCTTTAAAATGTGAAAAAAGGTCCAGGTGGTGGTTGCTTGAATATGTTTGCCCTGACAACTTTGACGTCTACCACTCGCTGGGCGCAGCCGGGCAGTAACGAAAGATGGCCGCTAAAACAGGGTCTGGCAACACAACACCGCCTTTCCTTTTTTGTGCGTACGTTCTGTTTTTTTTTGGGGGGGGGGGCAAACACCCAAATAAATCACCGTGATTCAATGGGCTTTCTGCCATGGGATCTGCCATATCTCAGAACATAGGTTCATCTCCTAGCGGTTCCCTTCAACGGACATCAACAATTGCGGTTTATCCAACTCCCAACGGCAGGACAACGATTTGGATGATCTGCGCTTGTCCAGGCCCTTCCGTGGCCCCATAGTTTTGACCAAGTTACACGACCTACCTATGTCCCTTTTCACCAGCTTCACCCTTCCCATTCTCTCCAATTCCTCGTGTTTCAGAGAATTACCCCAAACGCAGATGTGTAAAACGATGAGGATTAATCCTCAGACTCTTCCCAACTCCGTACTCCGTATGAGGGTAAAAAGGCAGATCACAAAACAAACCCACGAAGTGGTGTTTCTTTGATGATTCAGCCCGGATAAGGTCAACGTGAAAGAGGACCCGCCTTCATTTGAGGGGCCCGTCAAATAATTGCAACGAAGCAGCTACCCTCCCACCAATTCGCACCAAATAACATGAAACCTGACAGGGGGTTCTGGAAGACAATTTTCCATTTAAAGGGACCCGCTCGCAGGCTTCATACCAATTGGTGGGAGGGTACATGTTCGGGTTTCATACTCTCCTGAAATTCGGTCCTTGTTTGTAAAGGAGCCTCGCGTTTCGCCCCTTTCTCGGAGGTGCGTTCCTTCTGTTCATCTGGTCACAGGCTGGTAATTTTGCAACCCCTAAATCGAAGCACACCTCCCCCGGCCCAACACGGGCTCCGTGTCCTTTAGTCACTTTAGTCGGATACCCCGGCGACGTGAATCGCATCTCTCCTCGCAGGTCAGCATCAGCAGCACAGCCTCCCAAAGGCCTGGCAGCTTCGCTCACTCGTGGGCTGTGAAGGGCCGTGAGGGGGGGCGGGGGGGGCGGAGGAATCTTGCGCATACGTCCCATGGAAAACTTGAGAATATATTTCCAGCATTGCCTCTAAAACCAACAGGGGAAAATCAAAACATATTCTGAAACGCAAATGGAAGACACCGCATCCTGCAAATCAGGTTCAAGTCCAATCCATTGCCCGCCTCTTTACCCAGTTGCATCATTTGCATCGCTTCACACTTCACGCGTAATACATCCACTGGCCTTCAAAAGCCAACCTCATGCCCTACGTACGTATTACCTCCCCCCCAATTGCCCCCTCAAAACAAACCATTGAAAGAAACAACTCCAAAACTGAGGCCTCCCCTCCGTCCCCCCCCCCTGCCTGCGCTTCGTGCGAGGTTCATGGCCGTGCCCTGCAGCACCGCATCTCCTTGGCTCGTTTTTCTGCACAAAAGACAAACACAATATGTGGGGGGTTGATCAAAACGTCCGCTTTTTACATGGGCTAACCGTTGGTTAGGACACCACGAGAAAGAATTAATTTGATGCTTCCGACGTGGGAAAAGTTTCCCATGGTCATTTGGGGGCCGAAGGGAATGTTGATCAGGCCCCATGTGTTGAGTAAACAAAAACTGAAAGAATGATAATTCCTCTGATCCCTCTGATCCCTCTGGACCCTGAACGTCATGAACCCCTCCAATCCCCTATCATATCTAGCTGGAAGATCCTCAAGAATACATCTTCTAAATACTCTCACTACGAATGATCGAGAATTGAGCCCCTCTAAATCCTACACTCCAAACTCAAAATGCCAAACATGTCATAAGCTTGGAATCTTGTGTTCTTTAAAGCGTATTCTTTTCCGGGACACCGGAAGAGGAATGAAAATCTATCTTAGGATCAAGTCACTATTTCAACAAATGGGCGTGTTCTTTCCGAGCGTATCCTTTTTGGGGTTGTTTTTCAGGGAAACCAAAAGACATCACCCATTTGCTCCCCCTTTGAAACACATTCTACCCAGACCCCCGGATTCAAATCGTCGAGTCTCCCGGCTTCGCCTTGGCCCACTCCGCGCGGCCCAGGTCGAGCCCCAGGCGCCAGGTTGCGCCCGGGCCGGGGATCGGGGCGACATGCGGCGCGGGGCTGAGGTGGGCGCTGAGCCAAGATCCCAGGAACCTGGCCCCGCGGTTTGGTTTGATCCGTTGAGTTTCGGTATGCCTTGAAAGAAGGGGTACCCTCAAACACACACACACAGACACACACACAGACACACAGACACACAGATACACACAGACACAGACACAGACACAGACACACACTCAGACACACGAACACAAACAAACAGACACACACACACACAGAGACACACACACACAGACACCCGCACACACAGACACACAGACACACAGACACACAGACACACAGAGACACACACTCAGACACACAGACACACACACAGAGACACACACACACACAGACACACACACACACAGACACACAGATACACACACAGACACACACACAGACACACAGACACAGACACAGACACAGAACACACACACACACAGACACGCAGACACACACACAAACACACACACAAACACACACACACACAGACACACACTTGGTAACTCCCCGCAGGTGAGTAGTGAACCAACTCCACCATGCTGCCAAGGCACTCTCAAGTCACCTGACATGTCTGATGCTTGTTGTTGGTTGCCTGTTCCCTTAGCTGTTCAAGTCTCGAGTACGCATGTCACAGATAGACTGCAACTTGAAACAGCGGGAAAAACAGCGCTGCTTGAGTGGTCGAAGCAACCGCACGAAAATTGCAGGTACGCTGGGATGATCAGTCCCAGTTTCACCGCATATGGCAAGTGTCTTCGTTGGCAGGAGACTTGCCATAGTGCTCCTGCCCCCTGCTGAAAGCTATCTGAGCGACGAGCAAACGGAATGCCTCAAAGAGATCCGTCACTGCCCATATTAAGGGCCCTTCTTGCACAAGCCGAAGGTCATGAGCAATACACGGGGTGTTCCTCCTTAGCAAGGCCTTGGCAGGCCCAACGTCCTTGAATCTTTAAGCCCCAAACGCCAACTTGCCGTCTGAAAAGTTGATGCGGCACCTTTGAAATGAACTCTCCCGTGCAGACCGCTATGTGAGCAATGAGCAAACAGAAAGAATCAAACAGATCCGCCACTGCTAGAAGGGACCTTCCACAGGACGAAGCTAAACGCCAACTTGCTTGCTGAAAGGTTGCTGTGGCACCTTTGAAATCAGGTTTGGCACACACACAGACACACAGATACACACACACAGACACACAGATACACACAGACACAGACACACACACAGACACACAGATACACACAGACACAGACACACACACACAGACACATAGACACACACACGCGCAGACACAGACACAGACAAACACACACAGACACATAGACACACACACAGACACACACACACACACAGAGACACACACACAGAGACACACACACACACAGACACACACACACAAACACACACACACAGACACACACATACAGACACACAGACACGCAGACACACACACACACAGACACACACACACACAAACACACACACAGACACACACACACACAGACACACACAGACACAGACACACACGGCACAAACACACAGACACACACACACAGACACAGACACAGACACACACAAACACACACACACAAACACACACACACAGACACGCAGACACACAGACACACACACACACAGACACACACACAGACACACACACACAAACACACACACAGACACAGACACAAACACACACACAGACACAGACAAAGACACACACAACCACAAAACACACACACAGACACACAGACACACACACACACAGACACAGACACGCACACACACACACACAGACACAGACACACACACACAGACACACGAACACAAACAAACACACACAGCCACGCACACACACAGACACACACACACAGATACACACACACAGACACACAGATACACACAGACACAGACACACAAATACACACAGACACAGACACTCACACAGACACACACACAGACAAACACACACAGACACACACAGACACACAGACACACAGACACACACAGACACACACACGCAAACAAACACACACGGCCACGCACAAATACACACAGACACACACACA